GGAAAGTCCTCGACTTACGACCAGTTGGGTAGTCCTTGACTTACGACCGGTTTAGTCCTCGACTTACGACCGGTTTAGTCCTCAACTTACGACCGGTTTAGTCCTCGACTTACGACCAGTTTAGTCCTCGACTTACGACCGGTTGGGGTCACGGCATTAAAAAGGTTGAGAACCACTCTCCTACAGTCACGTGATTGTGATCTGGATGCTTGGCAACCTGTTTTCACTTACGACTGATTACCGATTACCGCCCCACCATCATGTGATTGCTATTTGCGATCTTCTCTGCCACTTCCCCAGAAAGTCAATGGGGAGGCCATCAGGGAAGGTGGCAAGCCATCTGCTGAGAAGACTCCATCTCGTCTCTAGGGGCTGGCTAAAAGAACTGCTTATAAAGAGAAGCTAAACTCTATTAGTGAGTTCAGATTCTGATGACTTGAGCTCCATTCCTGCACCTTGCGGAAGGTGTTCCATTCATGCACGGAGGGGAACTGACATCCTTTGGCAGGCAGCTCTTTCAGCCAGCCTTTAGAGATGAAAGGGACCTGAAATCTGAGCAGAGAACGGAGAGGCAGCATGCTAAGGCGGGGGTAGGCAACCTTGGCTCTTTTATTACTCGTGGACTTTAACTCCCAGAATTCCTGAGTCAGCCATGCTGGCTCAGGAATTCTGGGAGTTGAAGTCCACGAGTCATAAAAGAGCCAAGGTTGCCTACCCCTGCGCTAAGGTAACAAGCCCGGGATGCCTTAGGAGAGTGAGGAACACCTGGCGCAGGCGTTTGGATTTCAGGAGGGAAGATTTTCAGCTCCTGAGTGGAATCTCCCATCCACTCATCCCTGATGCATCCTGGGCTCCTTACCTTGGGACGCTATCTGCCTAACAACCTGCACAATAGCTTAATGACCACTTCCAGGTATGGCAGGTTTGTGGTCATTGAGCAAAGCAGTCATGTGGCCAGTCATCTCACATTTCACTTAATGACCATTTTGCTCCAAGATTCTAGGCTCAATGGTAGTCAGTTGAGGATTACTTTTGTGTTTTTTAACTCACTAAATTGCTAGCAAATTACCCTTGGAAAATGGTTCTCAAGCAAATTTTCTGCTAATTGTTAGCTACCCCAACTAGTGCTTAGACAAAAGGTTTATACATCAAATTTATACATGAGTCTGATATCTTCACAAGTAATGTGTACAAGAATAAAATGTGTGCCACTTCTGGCTAACCATCTCCACGCGTGCATAAGCTGGTATTATTTACCATAAGAATCGTAGCTTCAGTGTTAACCAGTTTTTTGCATGTTTTTGTAAAAGGATATGAAACTTAACCTGCTGAAAGTTTCTTTCTGAAGACCAAGTAATTGCTTGTCATACCAGTATGATAGGCACCATCCTGGTATGTGTCAGTCTATGACTAGCTTAATGGTCCTGCCTGCATTGTTGTTGCCCTGTCAGTTTTATTAAGATGTTTATTTCGTCCTTTGAGGCAAGAAGTACTTTTATTGTTTCTCTAAAATAAGTATGTTAAGTGACTAAGATTTTATATTTTGCTCCCTAAATAAAACAACAAAAAAAGGATTTGAAAGTCGGTTTTGCCTTGGAAATAAATTCCTGTCATTTGCTGCTTTTCTTCTCCTATCATGTACCACCCAAGATTTATTTGCTAGACAAAGAACCAAAATGCCTGCCAGGATGCTTGACTGATGAGGTAATCTGCAATTGGCACAAACCTTTCCCTGGATCTGATTCACTGGATACATACCTACATTGCAGAAGGCTTTTTTTCTGTTTTGTTTTGTTTTACTCCAGGCTTAGGGCGACTTCCGACTAGATGCTTTCTTCTGATAAATTTCACTGGCAGTATATTTACTTGAAATATTTTTGTTTTTGCTTTTGTTCACAACTAAAACATATGTACTGTACACATTTCTAGTGAATATTATGGATACCTGACTTTAATATTCCCAAATCACTGATCAGAGATATACAAATAGAAGCAATACATTAATAAATAAAGCTCTTTCAGAGCCAATGAGGAAGCCTGATGTTAATATGGCTAATATTTATATTTCTAACCATCCTATAAAATCTTGTCCATAGACTCAGGAATCATATGGCATTTAAAAATAAGATGTAAATTGGAACCCAAGCTGATTCAACTCACTGATTGAAAGTGGGAGTTTAACTTGTCTGGATTACTGTCTGTATAGGTTCTGAGCTGTGAGAACTGGAAACTGTTAAAAAATTACTGTAAATGGGGACCAGAACTCATAGACTCCCAGTTTCTACCCTGGTACCTTAGCCACTATATACCAGACTTGTTTCCCTAATATATTAATACATTGATTTGCAGGCACTGAATGGCTCAACAACTGTGATAGTACTGAAGCCCAAGACAGCATATGACCCCTTCTATCAAGGGGGGAGAAGGCAGGAGCAATTATTTAACCCACTGGCTACTGAAGGTTGAGACCTTGGAATTAAATAGAGAAGGAATTGATTTTTGTTTGCTCACAGCATGTATGGAGAGATATTGTTATCAGCTGGCTTCTCTATTCATATTTAGCTTTGAGTTTGTTTTTCTTTTATTAAAAGCAATAATTTCCATAGAATGCAAATTGATTCCCATGTGTGAATCAATAATGCTTGTGTCAGTAATTTTACTGGGCTTTACTTGTCAGTTTATTAAACTCAGATCATTAATGGTAGTAAGTACGGTACCCGTTCTTCTGCAGATAGATGTAGCTTTGGAAGTCTCTATCTCTGAAGACTGCTTTGTAATTTTTAATATGTGTATGTCAGAGATTACACTATTTTAAATAGGGTATCAAGGTCTTTTGGAAGCAGGCACTTTTGAAAGTCATTAAAATATCTAGTAGCTGGATCTGAAACTCAGACTAATAATTTAGTTGTTTTGCTTTATGTTTTAGCAGCATTGTCTACAGAATTGCTATCGTACTGGTGTTTTTATGAGCAGAATCAGATTACATTACAGTTTCATTCTGTTTATCTGCTTATTTATACATAAAGCTCATAATTCCCTTTTACAGAATTTAGCTGCAGTAGAATGTCTGTTCTCAAAACTAGGAGCAAAGCATTCCAGTTTTGGCAGTATTCAGGCATAATCTTGAAAACTAGTCAGGAGTGGTATTTCAGTAATTCACGTGGCTTCCCAGAGGTTAAAAAGCCATTCCAGCAAAACCATCTTGTGCTACAGTGGTCATTCGTTGGCTGAACATGATGATCAGAGTCTGCAGATCATTGGAAGGGATCCAACAGTAGGATATTAAGGCCTGTGACTCAGCTCTGAACACTCAGTGCCAAGCATGATAAGCAATGTCATTTGGATCGGGCAAAGAAAGTGAATGTTTTATGTTCCTTTGAGTGGGTAATTTGATTTAGTCAAGAAGCTGAGTTTATAACCTTACATTGTTTCAGATTTTTGGCGGTGCACACTTTTAGAAGAAATAAGATAATATTTTGAAAAGCAGTATTGCTTATGCAGTTTGAATAACTCTGAAGAAACATCAGTGAAAAATTACTAACATTGAAGTGCTGAAAGTTGAATACATTGAGGAAAATTTGGGGGGGGGGAAAAGATCCAATAAGCCATTTTCATCCCAGACATGTGAGAAAGGAGAACAGTGGATAAATGTGCTAAATGTTTTAGCTCTAGATTCTAGAGCATGGGTAGGCAACCTTGGCTCTTTTATGACTTCAACTCCCAGAATTCCTGAGCCAGGTGTGCTGGGAGTTGAAGTCCACAAGTCATAAAAGAGCCAAGGTTGCCTACCCCTGCTCTAGAGGATATATTTGGGAGTGCAGTTACTGCGTCCATTGGCAGACAGAGTTGTTGATGAGCCACATGCTCTCATAGACCACTTTGCATTAAAAGCCTGTGATGATTTTGATCCTTGGTATGTGTATTTCCTGCCTTTCTTATTTTTATAAATAACTCAGGGTGGCAAACCTACCTAATACTCCTTTCTGCTCCTGTTTTCCTCATAACAATAACTCTATGAGGTAGGTTGGGCTGAGATAGTGTGACTGGCCCAAAGTCATCCAGCTGGTTTTCATGTCTTAGGTGGGAGTAGAACTCACAGAATCCTGGTTTTTAGCCTGGTGCCTTAACTACTAGACCAGGGGTAGGCAACCTTGGCTCTTTTATGACTCGTGGACTTCAACTCCCAGAATTCCTGAGCCAGCAGAGCCAAGGTTGCCTACCCCTGTACTAGACCAAACTGGTTTGTGCGCCTTCTCATTCTCACTCTCTTCATGGGCATGTGTGTACATATACACACCTACCCACACAGAGAGCTATCTACCTATGGTATAATTAGCAGATGGTCTAATGGGCATAAACCTTGAATACCTGCCTGTACTTGCCTTAACCATTAGACCAGGGGTCTTCAAACTTGGCCCTTTTATGACTTGTAGACTTCAACTCCCAGAATTCCTCAGCCAGGCGCCCTGCCTGAGGAATTCTGGGAATTGAAGTCCACAAGTCATAAAAGGGCCAAGTTTGAAGACCCCTGCATTAGACCAAATATATTTAGCAGGTGATCTAATTCTAAAGAGACCAACTGCAGAAGAATAGAAAAGTACTTTGAACATTAAAGGTGTATAACATTCAGTAAGAAGAATACATTTCCGTGTATCTTATTACTTTTTTGTGTGAATAAATACACTGCATGTCTTTTGAAAACAACAATTCTACTGCTTGTTTCCATTTATAAAATGTTCGAAAAAAAGATCATTCATGGTTATGAACTGGCACTCCTAGTGTGCTTAAAAATAAAAGATTTCTACATTTACTGTATAAACTCATTGTTCCCAATATTTTATCAACTTTACTATTGCAAAGTTATTTTCTTCTTCTGCTGTGAAAGCTTAGTTACTATTACATTGGAAGACATGAAATATTCTGAACCTTTGTTCCGGTTGTTGATTAATTATGATTTTTAGCCAGCAAAGCAACCCATGGTCTTTTCTTTACAGGGCTTGGAAGAGTTCGCTGAGAATGTCTAGCAAAACGTCTGGCACAACAAACAACATAGCTCAAGCAAGAAGAACTGTCCAGCAGTTGAGAATAGAAGCATCTATAGAAAGGATAAAGGTTAAGCAAAATATATTTTCTTGTTACGAACTATGCGTTTATTATTTAACGTGCACTCTCTGTCTCTCCTCTTCTGTTTTAAAATGCTTTTTAAAAAATCATATTATTGAAATTATTGGAATATGGCTTTGTGGGTCTAATGTCTTTTGCTTAATGAAACTTCAGGGCCAATGGTTAGATCCCTGTAATAGAAACACATTTGGAGATTATGCTGGTTAGTCACATAAGTCATGATGTAATTTTGATCCTGTTCTGTTCAGTTTTCAAAGAGTTATCCTGCTGACTTCCAGAGAAACAGAGTCCCAAGACTCTGACACAATTTCCCTCCAACCTTTTGTTGGATCGGGAAAAATAAAAAGGATAAATACAAGCAATAATAAAGACAGTGAATTGGAACAATAGAGTTAGCGTCAGGAAAGTGAAAGGCTAGGATAAGAAATCAAAGCAAAGAATCCCAAGAAGAACAAAAAGGGCTATTAGGTATATTTGAAATAAAAAGAAAAATATTAGTATATACTCAGTGTTAGCAGAAAGCTAAGGAAAAAGTCACAGTTGCTCAAATTCTATTTTGATGCAGTCTTTTTCTTCTTGTAAAGAGCCGGGGGAAGTGGCAGAAATGAACCTTGAGGTGGATAAAAAAATATGATCAGAGAATTCATCTTTAATAAGTTTAAACCTCTAGTATCAGATTAATTGCAGGGTAGAGAGGAGCTAGCTGATGATCTAGTCACAATTCCCACACATTTTTCAAAATCAGAAAACACAGAAAGCAAAACATTTAGCAAATTACAGACCAATCAGTATGCCATCAATACCTGCAGAAATTCTAGAGCAAATCATAAGCAACTCTCAGCACCTTGAAAACAATGATAGCAAATCAGCATGGATTTGTCATGAATGAGTCTTTGCAGACAGACGATTATCTCTTTTTTTGGATCAAGCAAATTCCATAATAGGTTGTGGGATTGCTGTAGGCTAAGGATGTGCATGAAATGAAAAACATAGATTGTTGTAAACCTGATATACACTCTTCCATTATGGAAGTTCTGCCAAACTGGTTCGGTGAGCCGTTCTTTGGCAAAAACAAAATCCAGAATACTTCGGTAATTGGGTTTCAACCAAAACAAAAATGATTTTATAAGGCAAATTGGGAAAAGTTAATTCATTTAATCCCCTGTTTTCACTCCTCCTCTGCATGGTTTGTGTGCTGGCTTGTCTGCCTTTTATCTTTTGAGACCCTTTTGATCTGTATATAAATCAAAATATCTGAAACATGCATGGTTTGGTTTGAGTTACAGACCATCGAAAGCCAGTTCTATGCATGGAATAATTCATGCATGGAGGATACTGCATATTCTTCTTGTAGACATACAGGTAATCCTCGTTAATGGCCATTCATTTAGCGACCTTTTGAAGTTAGGACAGTGCTTGAATGAATGGTGGTTATGAACAGTCCTAGAAGTTCCAACTGTCCTCCCACTCCATGATTATAATTGGACAATTGGCAACTGGCTTGTGCTTACGAGAGTTGCAGTGACCCATGCTTACATTATCACAATTTGTGACCTTCCCTGGCAGCTTCTCACAAGCAAAGTCAATAGGGAAGCCACCAATGAAGGTCACAAGTTGCTCTGGTAAGTCTCTCTCGCCCACACGCCCTTCCCAAACCTCATTGCACTGATTGGTACCCCAGCCACTCGCATACTCCCATGCAGCCTCTCCCCCCTGACATGCTTCCTCCACACCTCCCTGGCCACCCATGCACCTCCTCAGTCCCTCTCACACCCAGCAGCAGCTATTTACCTGCCTGCCTGCCTGCTTGCAAGCCACCTAAGACTGGCAACTTCTTGCTGGCTTCCCCACTGACTTTGTTAGGAAATTGCAAAGAGGGCCTCACTTAACAACCCACAATTCTCCTTAGCAATGGTAATGAGCATTGCCATTGCTAAATGATGCGACCATATGACTTTGCACTTTACGTCTGCACTGCTTAGTGATGGAAATTCTGGTCCAGATTATAATTATAACTGTAATATATTTTGACGTCATCAAAAGCATTTGACCTGCTGATTAGAAAGCTGGTTAAGTATGGGTTGGATGGCATGATAATTAAGTTGATACATAACTGGTTCAAAACTCAGTTTGCAGGCATGTTTATCGATTGTTATTGATCCAATTAGAGGAAGGAATCAGTCCTGGATCTTTTTCAATATTGACATGGGTGAAAAAGTAAAGGGAATACTTAACAAATCTGAAGATGACAAAAAATTGAGGGAACAATAATTTAGTAAATACATACCAATTGCATAAAGATAGGGTGTGGGATACTTGGCTTAGTAAGAGTAAAAGTAGTCCTCAAATTATGAGCCATCGCTTAGCAGCCATTAAAAATTCTGATAGATTCCCTTAAAGGTATGATACAGTTCCAAAGTATCACACACACACACACACACTCCAATGATCACCAATGTCACTACATGGTGGGAATTCTCTAACTGGCCCACAAGTTCAGTCATTAGCAGTGAGCTGCAGTCATATAATCATGTTTTACTTCTGGTTTTTGACAAAAACAGCCCATAGCAAACAATGAGCTCACTTTATGACTGCAGTGTTTGCTTAACAACCACCACATGTGATGACAAGCTTTACTACTTTCACGACTTACAACCATAACGGGCAAGTTCCATTATGGTCATAAGTCAAGGATTACCTGTATTTGTGAAGAAAATGGAATAGTTGTTGATTACAAATTAAATACAAGTCAACAGGCTACTAAAACAGGCAAATGCAGTTAACAAAAGTATAATTTCCAAATTACAGAAAGTAGTAATCATTGTTCTGCTTTGCTCAGACCTAATTTCAAGTACTGTGCCATTTTCAGTCACCATGTCTTACAGATCTGGGTTTAGAGAAGGACAACAAGAATGATTTCAGGGAACAGGGAAACCAAATCTCAAGAAGAGAGAGAGAACGGGCTGGAGATGTTTAACCTTGAGAAACAATGCTTGAGAGGGCCTATTATAGCATTCTTCAAATTAAGGGATGTCACATAGAAGGCCAAGGCCTGTCCATTCCTATTCCAAAGTGCAGGCCGTGGAAGAATAGATTTAAATCCTAGAAAGATAGGTTCTGATTGAATGTTAGTAATGATGTTCAAATCGTAAAACAGGTTGACAGTGGAACCAGTTATTCAAAGAGATGATAGGCTTCCCTGTTTTGAATGTTGAAGTAGAAGGACAACTCTCTACCTAGGATGATTTAATTGTGAATCCTGCATCGAGCAAGGGGTTAACCTGGTGGTCTGAATAGACTCTTCCAATTCTTGTTCTGTGATTCTCTAGCCATTTATAGAAAGCTGCCACCAAGATGTACTTGATTATGTCTCTGTTGTATCTTGATCAACCTGGTCCCTTAGACTAGACTCTAGAACATCAGGGCTGTGATTTCTTTGTGAAAAATAAGAATGCCATAGGCATTCCCAGACTTCTTAAGATGCATATGTGAAGAACAGAAAATGAAAAGTAATGCATACCTACTTTAAATCATATTTCTGCATAAATATGGCTTCTCATTTTGCAATTTGTTTATTTACTACCGAAGTCTCATTCATAAACAAAAGCTAAAAGACCACAGAGTATTTGGGGGGGGGGTACACAGGGGCATATTCAATGAATGTATATTCAAATTCACTTTATTAAGGGAAGCTTTTTTTGGAAAATTGATAATTCTGCACCTTTTTTCCTCTGCAGGTGTCGAAGGCATCAGCAGATCTAATGTGCTACTGTGAGGAACATGCCAGGAAGGATCCTTTACTAATGGGCATACCTGCTTCAGAAAATCCCTTCAAGGATAAAAAAACCTGCATTATTCTATAGGCAAAGCAGCAAGATGCCTTCAAAACCTTCCCCTGCAAAACCAACCTAGCCAATTCTTAGAGAAGTAACCTGAAGGTCACCTGGTAGCCATTGCATAAAACAGCAACTTATTTCCACCTTGTGTATGAATGAACTTTTAAGTTTCCTTGAGTGTTTGTTTGTCCCATCCTAAATGCCAGGCATACGGTTCTAAAAGTTACTTCTTGCAAAATGGAGGGGTTCTACAAATGTTGTTAGGCATGGATTCTGTTGGCTTTGTTGGGTTGAACCGGGCTGGGCTGGGCTGGGCTGGGATAGGCTTGATTTTAAAATGCAGTGAGTGTTCACAGATCCAAGGATTGAACTATCAAGACCAAAGTTGCCTGAGCTTCATTTACAGAGTAGTGAGGTAGACAAGCCTAGAGTGCTAATCAAGCTTTCTTTTGCATTTGATTTTATACCAGTGTGTACCTTGTATATGTAAATGGAGTCTATATCTTGGGTGTGTGCATATGTTCGTTTAGATGTATAGACACATTCCAGAGTGCATTCTTTGAAGTGCACTCTTCAGAGTTCATTGATGCATTTATTGGTAGGATTTCTGCAGTTCATGCTTTCACTATTTAGTATATCTTAAGCTCTCAAAAATGTCTTAAAAACCTACACCTTTGTACATACCATAAATTCTGATTCTCAAAATGAGTTTTGAAAAGCGACATCTAGCTCCTTTAATCTATCTTTTGTTTCCACTGAAATGTAGACTACACTAAATTCATATTGATTGTGATAATGGTGTCTAAAAATTTTTCCTCCTTTTCTTTTTGTCTTTAAGAGGAATTCTGTCCTTTGCCTTTCCTACACAGTTTCTAATGAACTGATTTTTGGAAGCTTTCAGGCTTTTTTTTCAGTTTGATCCCCAAATGTACATTTCATAAATGTCAAACAATCACTAAGTAGGAAGAGAGACTCCGAGTGAAATCTATGGTGCTACTGCTTCTGCACAAGGCCTATTAAAATCAGTGGTTGTGCTAAATAAATGCTTGAAGGGTTATAGCAGTTCTCGGCAGCAGCAACCAATCTCTTCTGTATGTTAACATTATTAATGAATTTGGGTACCGGTCACGTGGTAATGAAATACTGAATAAAAAGAAGCAACACTGATACATTTTAAGCCAGGAGTATGCATCTGTATTCTGTTTGTTTGGCCTTTTAATTTTTATTGTATTATTGTGATCTGCCATAGCTCTGTATTTTGAAGATGGATTAATTGTAGCTTTTTGTTGTTGTTCCTCAAGAGGGGAAAAGAATTGCCCCATATATAAAGGCCCTCAAATGCACGGTTAGATTTCCTTCATAGAAACTTTAGTACAGAGCGCAAAGTCAACCAATAGTGCTCTCCCAGAAGCAATCATTTTCAACCAGCCAAGGGACACCCCCCCCTTCAAAGATTTATTCCTGTTAAGAAGACCTAGACGTCCATAGTGTTTGTATCTGCTTGGTGACAGCTAAACACACACTTGGTTTCACCGTAACTGTATTGAGAAGCTAGCTGCAGAGCTGGTAAGCCAAAGTCCCTACCCAACTTACTGGTGCTCTTCACTGCATTAATCAAGCTGCTTGTGAAGAACTGTATTAGTGCTGCATGCTGCTGTGTTGATACTGTACTTCTTTTTGCCTTCACGTTCCCAAAATATAAATTTAACACATTTTAAAAACTAAAATAGCTTCCTAAAGATAGCACGGAACTGATAACAAAACCACACTTCTGCATTGATTTTGCTTATTTTACGTCAGTCTGCTCATCACTTAATCGACGTACAATTAATTAATTGGATTAGCTGGAATTTGGTGCCATCTTAGTTGCTATCATAATTTAAAACAGTGTCTTTTCTGATATCAAGTCTTAAGTTCCTATCCCCAAATCACGAGATGACCTATCTTTTGGTTTGTTTCAAGATATTGGACAGCGGTTGATTTGTCAGCTATATAAATCTGCTTTATAAAGAATGATCCTTGCAACTGTTAGTCCATGGCAACAACAACATGGGTTAACTTGCATTTCTGTTAATTGTGTTGAACCAGACAGTAGTTAGGCTTGTGTTATGATCTTAACCTAAGAAGTAAAATCCAGCAGAAAAGGTCAGCCTATGTTTGACTTTGCTACATGGAAGTGGTTAATTCACACCAGTACATGGACCTCTGATGTACAGATCATGTACCTAAGTTCATACATTATGGCCATAAAGTATTGAAGCTCTCAAGTGTCAGAGTTGATACTCATTGCAATAAGCCTATAATAAATGAGGAGAGACTGCATTGGCAGGCCTGTCAACTCTAAGAGAGTCAGTATAATTATTTGTAATGAATACATTGGTATTGCCATTACTAAATGGACACCTTGTAAAAGCTGAAGTTGATGCTGGATGTTTTCTCACCCATCACCAACCCAACCTGTTTCCTACAAATCGTATCCCAAATATCAGTATTTTTAAAAACAATTAGAATGTTGCTCTTTTTAGACCTATTCTCATCAGATGAATGCAATTTAAAAAAATCTCGATGCGTTCATCAATTTTATATTTTCATATACAATGAATATGCTATTTAAATGATTGTGATCATTTTTAATGAATTCAGTATATATATATATAAACTGATATGCAAACAAAAGCATTTTCCATGTTGCAAACACTACACTGTCACCAGCAAATACTGCTCCGTATGCTTTAATGTAGAATAAATTTGGACACATTCACTTACTCGCCCTAGTGAGAAGTTTAAACTGATTATGATTGCTCCTTGCCTCCCATTTAGGCTCTATTTCACGTAAGATTGGAAGGTCCATATCCTTAAATTTTAAAATCAGATTATTTACGATAGATGAAGAACCTCTGTAGCTCACTTAAATACCCTCAAATGACTGAGCATTTAATAAATGACGTTTCACTTGTTACATTGTTTAGTCAAAGCTAAGATTAACACTTGGTGATCAGGATCTAAAAAAGCATCCTATCTTGCCTGATAGGAGAGAAGACAAATTGGCTAGAGAAGGCATTACCAAAAGAAAGAAGGAAACCTTTAGATGTTGCCTTGCAATTGACCAGTGCCGTTATTTTTTTCTAATTTCTTCTACCCATTTCTCAGCTCACATTTTTCCAAATTAAGGCTTGAGTTATGACGCCTTGATATTGGGCCTGTTTTCTGCGCTTTTTGTTCTGTTGAGTGGGTAATCATGCTACTTTAGCCTTTTAAAGTTGTGCTCAGCTCCTGATGGCTTCACAGACACATCCATGTGGCTTTGGGGCAGCAAATATAGAAGTGGTTTGCCATTGCCTTCTTCCAGAATGTGATCTTTTGTTGTTAAAATCTTACCACACTTGTGCATTCGCCGTGTTGTAGTGTTATAGCACCAGGCCAAAATAGGTTGGATCCAAATATGCCCTGCCATATGCGGGATAAGCTCGATTATGTCCCCAAAAGCAATGTTTTAGCCTCACTCTAATATGTTCCCAAGAAAAAGGAATACTAAGAATCCAAGCCAATACAATATATGCGTGCAAGGGAGAAAGTCCCATTTCACAAGTGAGCAGTGCTGACAAGACATACATAAGAGCCCATTCAGAGGCTACAATCTCTTGTGGTTTTAATAACCACTATTCATTATAATGGGGCTTATTTCTAAGTAAGCATGTATAGTGTTGTACAATACAACCAAAGATGGTTCTGTACATGTGCCAGAGGAAGCACGGGAACTGCTATGAACTTGCATCCTAAAGCAGTCTGGAAACTGCTTTCTTTGTGTTTGCAGAGCAACGCAAGCAGCAATTCGATTTATGCTGTGGTGCTTTGGACCCAAACCAATATTTTCACCAGCAGTGCTTTAAATTTTAATCATTCGCATGTATTTTACAAACCGAAGATAATTATTGAAAACACTTGTGTTATAAACTGCAGATGTTTTCATTTGAGCCAAGTGAAGTGTTGTGCCAACTTCCATTTATGAATGCATTTGGACTTCCCCTTGAAAGACTCATGGGTGGTCAACCTGTTTGGTTTCTTGTATTGATTGAAATGTAGCAGTTTTCAATCAAAGCAACAATCAATTCAGAACCAAAATGTAACTAGCTGCTTTGGGTTATTTCTCTCCCAAGTTTAAGTTGTTGCTAGATGCCTCTTCACCCTTCACCAGCTTTTCATAACTTTTTTTTTATATATATATATATTGAGAGTTGAAACATACACACATTGCTTATGTGTGATGGTGATACCACAAACAAGAAACTGAGAACATTGCATTGGTATCTATTGCCTTGGATTCACTTCAGTGGGACTTGCTGCAATGGTGCTTAGGTTATTGTGATTAACAGAATAGGGTAAAAAAATGAACACCTTTAATTTAAAATAGTAACTCCTGCACTATTGTGAAGTTTGAAGATAAGAGTATAAAACTTAACAAGGAGTTTTTAGTCATTGTACCACTAACCTCCACCTTGGTGCTTTGATTGAAACATCACGCAAGAAAAATAATACTGTATTGTAGAGACACGCTGCTCTTTATTTATCCCTTTTAAATATAATAACAGTAATCTACTTTATTTCTTACAATCTTCTCTGTTTTTTTTTCTTGCTCTCACAAAATTATTGTTTTTGTGTTATTGTAATGTTGCATTGAAAAGAATAAATACCATGATTTGCCTTTGAAGTAAAAAAAAATGCATGAAATTATTTTAATAGTTTTGTTTTATCTTTCATGAACAGTCTGTAATATGTTTGCTTTCATTGTACCTCTCTATACAATGTGATTGCTCTTGGAAGATGGTTTCTTGCAAACACTAGAAGGGTTAAAAAAAATGTAATTAAGATTCCTTTTCACAGCTAATATATTTAGTATCATGGATATAAAATCCTTTAATTAAATATCACTTCTTTTCATACTGTTTTCTGCCTATCATTGCACTGCACTGGATTTAAGTGTGTTAGAAATAATAAATCACTTTAGTTGCATCGTTTAATAATGACATGACAAATTGATTTGAGTTGGGCATATAATGAAATCGCATTCTGCTGCTATTGATACAATTATTGTTTTAAGGCATCCGTTGGAAAGCCAAAGGGTGGCCTCTACTTTTACAGCCTGACTTCACTGAACCATTTCAGAGGAACACTGAACTATAAAGACATCTGCACATTCTTTCTTGGCAAATGGTTTGCAGAGCATGCCGACCTTTTAGCTTCAAGAATAGTGAACATATTTCACCTTTGATTCTGCATGCTCTATCCTGAAGAGACAGTTACGAATAACAAGAATAGCACTTGCCATGGTCAGATTCTATTCAACAATGTGGTGATAATCCTCGTACTATCCTAGAACCGGTGTAGCAAATCTTGACTCCCTGCCCTCCTCGCTGGGTGATGTTGCACTTGGTATGCTGATGTTTGTTGTACTTTTGAGGAAAGAAAAAGTGAAGGAGAGGATAAGCCCACATAACCCACCACCACCACTCAGAATATCTGCCTTTCTATTGGTAATTGGTTTTGCTGTGTACCTGTGGCTGGGGTAAACTGCATGTTGGATGTTCACCTGCTCTGTGGAAGCACGAGATCCTTGGATAGGTGGCATATCCAACCAATGCCTCCTTTGACTAGATTCTGCTTAAAAGATTAGTGAACAAGGATTAGTCTCACTTCTCATTTCAGATGCCCAATTCTGTTGACTGCTGTTCTTGGCAGCTCCTCTAATACTATCTTCCATCCAATTCCATGCATTTATCTGAGGCTACTGAACTCTTTGTAAAGTAAGGTTGAGCCCCTAAGAAAGACATGGTTTACAGTTGGGCCATTTTAGAATGGAATACCAAACATTCACTAAAAAAACAAGTTTCCATTGCCCTTAAATGGTACATTTTGGAAGCTTGTCTGTGTTGAGCAATGGCCATCTTCCTGCCCTGTGATTATTTCTGTGTGGGTGTGCTGACACAGGCTGCTGAGTAAGAGAGTGAACATTTGTCCTACTAATCTGTTGCAGCACTGGAGTGGAGTTTCTGCTCAATATTCCTACATGAGGAAGGGTTTATAAAGTGATTGTAGTGGGTGGGAACGATGGGTCATTGCAGAGTGTCCAGTTGGGAAAATTGCAGTTTGTTTTCCCTGGTGGTTTTTGTTTGTTTGTCTGCAATGCAACCTCCTCAAGCCTCATGTCACATAGATGTGTCGTATGGCAGTTCCCATTATCTTTTAATATCAAGATGGTAGCCATAGTCCAATACAGCAGAAAGGTACCAAGTTGAGAAAGGCTGACCAAGTGAATTCAGTCTTGAAATCTTCTCAGTGAATATCGCATGACACACTTAAGACATCAGTAAGCGAAGGCTCTCTTTCCTCCCAAATATCTAATTCATGTAGAGTCGTACTGCAGGCAGCACAAGATGGTTTGGACTGATATATTTTTTCAGATTTTCATTCCAGCAGTTTCAAGTGATGATTTAGTAACCTACTTTCAAGTTCTGTTGCTGTATACGAACATTAGTTGCTGATGAAACTATGGCTAATCATAGATCTTTGACTTTGTGCAGGATACCTGCCCATCTGGTTTCAGCGATCTGGTTCTGTTGCTGAATAGTCTCTATTCATTTTAATCAGTCAGGTTCAAGATTCCATAGCAACAATTTTTAGACCAGTGTTTCTCAACCTTGACAATTTTAAGGCATGTGGACTTCAACTCCCAGAATTCCACAGCCAGCAGTGCTGGCTGTGGAATTCTGGGAGTTGAAGTCCACATGCCTTAAAATTGTCAAGGTTGAGAAACACTGTTTTAGACAATAATGCTCTTCCTTACTCTCATCTTTTCAAAAACAACTTTTTTAAAAAAACTTACATGTTTTAATAGCTGCTTTCTAAGTGTTTTAAAAGGAAACTGGAAAATATTTTTAAAGCCAAGTCGGCCATAATTGTAGGTATTATTTTGAATGGCTGACACTTAAAATTGCAGGCAAAGCAGCTATTTGAGGTTTCAAGGGACAGTATCATATTTCAAATAATAGTATGCTTTCCTTTCTTATTAACACTTTGTTATTTGCTTCATATTTGGTGTTTTTAATGTCATGCTTTCTAAGAAAGCTGAGTAGCTGATAACCAGACTCATTACTGAGGTTTGATATGCTTTTATTTCCCATTTTCTATTTTTCCTGTAACGTGGATTAGTTTTTGAACTTGTTACAAATATTTTATATTTACTGAATAATTAAGCCACAAATGATGCCCTGCATCCCAATCCAATTCGTAATTATCTTTCTTTTGCCCACTTCAGATGTTTATGCAGGTTAGCTTTTTTCTGTGGTCTATTACTGGGACTTGGGCTAGAAAAATAATTAAGCAATTTCATGAGAGAGGTTCCCTATTCTTTTAGCTTGAGAATAGAATGAAACAATCCAGCTGCTTCTAGAGGTACCCAGATTTCCTTACCTGGGACTCAAACTCCTGAATTTCCTCCTGTGGCACAGCTGTTCTTAGAAACCAAGGTTCAACACATTTTCAAAATCCTAGAGTGGAAGAGGCTACTGGTGCTGGGGATTTTAAAACACAGCACGGCCTCACTATTGTGTATGTAGTAAAAGTTATTTCTGAAGCAGATTTCCTTATGAAGAATTGTACAAAGAAGAGGGGCTACTAATGCCTTTTCTTACAAGAGGCATATGCTACAGATGGCTGATCTAGTCATTCAGCAGTCTCTAGTCTATACAAATAACAGATTATGGAATACTGTTCAGTGTGAATTGCAATTGGGAACACTTTCCACCTATCACAAGCTGTCTCTTACCCGCTATGTAATAGAACAGGTATGCCTACCCCTGGCCTAACCCACGACATTTATTGCTGTAGATAGTTCCTCTGCTTTACTGAGATTTGCTCTATTTTCAATTAGCCAATTTTATGTAGTGGTTAAGGCACCAGGCTAGAAACCGGGAGATTGTGAGTTCTACTCCCACCTTGCATGAAAATTAGCTAGGCGACTGTGGGCCAATCATTCTCCGAGTCCAACTCACCTCACAAGGTTTTTGTTGTGGAGAAAATAGGAGAAACGAGTACAGGGTATGTTTGCCACTTTGGGTTCCTTATAAAAGTAATACAGTAAAGGCCAGGTAAAAATTAATTAACTAAATAATGTGTGTCCAATTATATAACATATACTTCAAGGGTCTTTAAAGAGTAATAGAAAATCAAACTGGAGGCATTTCAAGTCCCTCCGCATTCAGAGCACTTCACTTTCAATACTTTGTAATGAGACAAAATAAGAGGCATTTGCAGAAGACAGAGGGTTTTTTTTTGTTTCAATTACTATTTTTCAGCTGTTTTTCCTGGACTCTTATTAGACCACATACATCTCTCCTCTACTGATGATTCATTTGCCTTTTTACCCAGATACTCAGGGCAAAATGTCGTTTAGGAGAACCCATCATTCCTTGAGAGTGTGTGTGTTTGATTGGCAATCATATGTGCGAGAAGAATAGCACAGCTACTCTTATCTTCGGGTGTGTGCTAATCCCTTTGCAGAACCACATTTTTTTTTATTATTTTTTTAAGTTTTCCAGTGTTATCTGCTCCATCTTTTGAATGCAAACAAGACCTTCCAATTCCCTATTTGCCTATTATTATTATTATTATTATTATTATTATTAAGTTTGGGGGGAAACCTCTATTTTATTAAAGGGGTTTATAAATCACAGCACATTCTCATATTCACAGATGTTATGCTGTTACAACAAAACTTCCAAAGTATTGTGCAAAAAACATATAAGCTGAATGCCATGCTGTATGATAGTCACAATCGTGATCCAGGAATTGTTTCACCAACACCAACACTTTGTGTTGCCTCTAGCCTAAAAAGCAAAAAATAACAACCATTTCCTGGTGATTTTTAAATGTTTTATTTCAGTGAACACAGTCCAATTTCAAACATTAAAAGGCAGCAGTTCAACCATTTTAATACAAGTGGTGCACAAAATCCCTAGCATAAATAAATCTTTCACTGGTCTTGCGAAATAATTTAATACTTCTTAGAAGAAAACTGAAGAAATGGGCGTGTTGAAACAAAAGAGAATGGTTGCTAGAGTAAACGAAACCTTTTCGGTCTCAAAAGTGAAAGGTATTTAAAACAGAAACTAGGAGTTTCCTCTCTGACAATGCCAACTAAGCCCACTTGGTGGCTTCTGAAAGGAACTCTGCCACACTTGATTTCACAACCGTCTTGCAGAACTCTTAACTTCCTCTGGGGACTTCCTATTGCTCCCTCAACATGGCTTCTGCTTTGAGTCCATCATTGACCAACCGTGCTGTCAAACATCCTTCAGTTTCACACAATGTGCAGTTCAACCTCAGCCTACTGACTTGACCTCAATTACTGTAATCCTTGTGTCAGGCTGGGAAATTACTTCCTGAGCAAATAACTAAAGTATCTTGAAACTTCAGTGCAACTTTTTCTCTATTCAGTTCAACCTTATTTGCCTGCTGTCACCGTTCAGGCAGATTAATAACGGGGACCCACTGATCCATGTAGCGGCTTTCACGGCAAAAGCAGATCAGCTGACTTAGGGCTGGATCCTTCCATTGAGAAGCATGTGGATTCTGCAAGAGGAGAGGAGACAGAAAATGTTCACTGTCAGCACAAAGTAAAATGCTGCTGACAATAAAAGGACCTATATATAAAAGACACAAAATGCTCTAGATAAGACTGCAATGCAACATTTATTACTGGGGAGCTGGTGGGTGGATGGGTGAAAATTCAACTGAATACCTTCAATTAATCTTATAAAAACAAAGCTGCTTTAGTGATTTGGGGGAAAATTTAAACTTTTGTTTAAAATATCCAGGAGTTCACCCTAATAGAGTTGCTTCTCCCCCTATAATTAGCAAAAGAGCTAATATAAAAAGTAGATTTTTTAAAAAAAAAACACCTGTCTGCAGCATGGTTTGGATAAAAAAATAAGAAATCAATATTTTAGTCACAAGCTTAGCATTATGCACATATTTCACAATTACAAACAAATCATTTGCCTTTGCATGAACAGCCAAGTAACTGTATAAAGTGTATTTGCAGTTCATGTCAAATAAGGGCTTGACCTACAGAAATATTGGCTGCATTCCTTTATTGCAACTTGAATGTAAAAATATATTAAATATTGTAAACCTACTTCTTAAAGTATGTCTTCTGAAGTTATGAATAACTTAGCAGTTCCCAAATGACATCAAGGCCACAAATTACTAACAGTGACCAGTCTTTTAATCACAGCCAAGTGAATTATCTAATAATGACCTTTGAGCTAATTAGTAATGAGGAAAGACAAATATAGGCAGGGAGTTACTGTAGGAAGGTGACTCATGGGGTTGTACACTCCTGTTGTCAACAGGATGAAACATGTTTGTACAGGTCTTTGCTTTCAAATGCTCAATAAGCAAAGAGAGAGGTTGTGATACAATTTGTGCAGAGGAAAAGGCTAATTAAAGCAAAGGCCATGCAAATTCTCACTTGGAACCAGATGCAGAAAGGTGAGAATGCTGGAAATTCAGGCTTACCTTGGCTACAATTATAGCTAAGTGGCAGGCCATGAAGAAGCAACAGAAATTATCCTGTCCCAATAGGTTTTATACCCCATCTCTCAAGAAAAACAAAACTTACTGTTACTAGCACACAGTGCAGGTCTGCAGGCTGTTCAACCCCTCCGCTTGCCCCTAAAAGCAGAAGCTCTGCAAGGCGGCTTGGGTTATTCACTCGAAGTATATTAATGTCATTTTCACAACAAAAAGCTTGAATCAGAGTGAAGTGAATTTGTAAAGCAACATCCTGGTTGTCTTCCTCGTCTGCTGCCAACAGGCAAAGCACCACATTATCTGGATCCCTGCAGGGATAAAACAATACAGATTGCATTATTCACCGTGTGACAAACAATAATAGGTGTATTTTATAATGAGGAACTGAGACAAAACAGGAACTGAAGTCATGGAGCATATTATAAACATGGGAAATAATTTTGTCTGGGTAGAAGCAGAAGCCCAAGACATTGTCTTATATGGGCTTGAACTTCAGATGACAGGAACTAGATTTTTAAATGCTCAGCATCCACAGTTCCAGCCTAGAGTGGAAAAAAAAGGGCTTTTTTTTTTTTTTTTTTAAAACAGCCTGATGACATTTTAGCATCAAAGACAAAAACAAAATCCCTGGTCAGCAGTTTCCATTAGCTTAACTGTCACTTGGCTCTTAGAACTCTTGCATTGTGGGTAATTTGGAAAGAGAAATAAAATAACTGCAAATGCAATGCTTCTATGATCAACACAGAGAAAGCTGGGCACATCTGCATTTGGCAAGAAACTCAGGATTTATTTTTTTTTCCTGCCTGCATAATGCAAGTTCAGGAGCTTTGCTTCCCGACAGATCATCCCCGCCCTGATGTTTCCTGAGGTAGATCAATCAACCCATAAACCCCAAAGTGCAATATCAACCATGAAGAACTTGGGAGGACTCCCAAGTCAAGACAGTCAGGCACCACCACCTCACTCTCCACTTACACGTTGAGTAGTTTGGCAGCCTCATACACCCCAACGGTGATGCTTCTCTGAGTCAGGGCTTTGCTCAGGACTTCTTCCAGGGCATCCCCCACCTTCTCCATGCTGGCAACCCAAGGAAGGGGAAGAAAAAAAAGTTTCAAAACTCAAACTCCAGCCAAAATGTATTCTTCTCATCAAAGATCACCATAGTAATAATACACTTAAGGGGCCGTTTCTCTCCAGCCCCAAGGCCCTCACCCCGCCAGCCTATGCTGCATAACTCAAGATCCAACAGTCCTCTCAAGTGGAACCGATCAGCTCCTAAAGAAGCAGGGAGGGGGAGGAGATCCGGGAGGGGGGGGGATCGTTTCTGTCTATTGGAGCGACCGCTGTCTAAACTCGTCCGCCTTCTTCCCGTGTCCTGTCAGAAAAGGCCATGCCGCCCTCTCCTCACACACACACTCACACACACACACACACACACACACACACACACGAAGGCACAAAAAACGCTGCCTCTCCTAGTTTCTATTCCCACACAGGCGCAAATCTCCCTTCCCCGCACCGCCTCTTCCCAGATCGCTTCTGCACCGCGCCTGGCCGGCTCCCCGTCCCCCCCTCCTCCCCTGCCCAGCTGTGAGGTGGCAGTCGCGGTTGCCGGCCGGCCGGCCGGCGAAGCAACGCGAGCGGGGTGATCCCTGCTGCGGCTTCCGCGCTGCTTGATCCCCCCCCCCAAACTACAAATTTCCACCGTGCAACTGATCGCCTCTGCAGGCGACCAGCCGTTCCTCGGACGGCCAAAAGGGCAGACGCTGCTGATCCCCCCCCCCCCCGTACCTTCCAAAAGCCTGATGGTCCCCAGCCAGATCTTCCAGGGTCATGTTGCAGCTGCAGGTGCCTGCAGAGAAGGACGGGAAGAGGTCGCGGGGATCGGGCGTTCTGCCCCGTGCCGCCGCCGCCGCCTCTCGCCTTCTAGACGTCCTGGAGGGCTCCTCTTCTCTCCTCCCGTTTGCTTTCCCGCAAACCGGCGGTCTGTCTCTCCAGCAAGCCAATCCCCAGCCTCGGCTGCTGTCGCTGCTCTCTCCTCCTCGTACTGTGCCCGCACGCCCCCCTTTGCCCGAGTCTCCTTCGCTCCACGCCGCTTGCAGCCTTGCGCCCCTCGATCTAGTCCCGCAACGCCGGCCGCCCTCGGCTGCTCTCCACCGCCCAGCTGGAATGAGGGACAAAGGATCCCTTGGGCCGGAGTTATCCTGCCAACCCCTGGCCAACCGTCTGGCGCCTCATTTGCATACCGCCGCTCTATTGGACCATGCAAATAAGGCGGTGGCGTGTATTCCTCCACTTGACCCCCCCCCCCCGCCCGCGATTTCCAGTGGAGAGAAAGGCAGAGAGCTGTCAGTAACTTTCTCTGCCTTCGCTGAATGCTGATTGGGCGTTGCGGTTGCGAGGGGCGGCGCTTGCTGTGGGAGAGCGGCGGGCGGCTGGTTCCCTTCCTTCCCGCCTGTCTGGCTTCAGCTGTTTTTCCTGTTGGTGCGCGTTCCCCCTCCCCGCTTTGTTTCGAAGAGGTGGGGGGGAGCGATCGAAGGGGAGGGATTGACGGTAAGCTTCTGTTTGCAGCCAAATGTTCTGCCGATCTTCGTTTACAATAAATAAGTGGCAGTAAGCAAATTATCAAAGTCAGAAGGGAAACCGATCGGCTGCAGCGAAGTTTATTTCCCTCGGGGGGCGGGTGACGTTGCTGGGCTGACTGCCTAATGGTGGAATCCCTGCAGCACTAGGCTAAACAGCTGGAAACAGCTGGCTGCTTTTCCCTGGACTCGGGATGTAACCAGGATTGCAGCTGGTTAATGCGTCGACGGAAGAGTGGGAAGTCAAAACGTTCTGGAAGGCAGAGGCAGGTGTCTTCTGTTATACGATTGTGTTTGTGGAGACACCAGGTGCAGAGCACAACTCAACCTGAGTGTTTTTACTTAGCAGCTTAAGACCTATTCAGCCACAAACTAGCCAACCATGTTTTGGTCTCCAACCCAGCCCTTGTGGCTTGCCTATGATTCATTGGCTGTGTGAACCCAGGCTCTTGAGTGAGTTCAGGCTCCCTTGTTCAGTTGTCATGTTCAAACACACCCGCTGAATTAAGATGCCGCTTCTTGCTGTTGCTGTTTATTTGGTTTATTGTTGCCCTTGCTATTGAGCTGCTAAAGACATCATGGATTCGATAGCCATGATTATTAAAGCCAGTGACCAAAACAAAAACATTAATACAATCCTAGGTCAGAACAATATTACATATAATAAAGTAGAATAAAGTTAAAGGCCAATTGCAGTAATTAGATAAATACATATCTACTACCGCAAATACAGTAGTATGCCAGGTTCGAGCCACAAAACAAAATTTGTGGCAACCAAGTAAATGATTCTCAGTCTTTGGCAACTAGTAAAAAAAATGGCTTAAATTGTTTTGCCAGTCACTGCTTGTTTATCTTTTTGGCAATACCAAACCCTGAAAATAGCTCATATCCTGGAGAGAGGCCAAATGATGTCAACCTGTTCATAATAGTATTCCACCATTGCAGCCGAGGATTGTCAGATATTAGAAAGGAAAGCAGTCCAGTTGGAGCCAGATGGATCCTCAGCCAAGCCAATAAAATAGCTTGCCAGATTTGCGCTTTGATTTTTAATTAGACCACTTGCAGATCTCAAGACTGCATTGGAAATACTACTAGGAGTCAGACCTCTTAGGCAACCTGACTGGATTTTTTTCAAAAAGTTCAAAATTTGTATAAGGCCTGTGCTGCTGATTATGCAACCTTTTAATGGCAGCTAGAATGAAATGTATCCCCCCTGTTCAAACTGATGTGGCATTCCTGTGCCTCCGAGAAGGCATGATTGGCTTGACCTTCTGGAAGCTTAGAAGATAACCACTTAATATCTCAAGCAGCTTGCTTCCTAATCTACCTGTAGGCTAGCTGTGAATCTTAAATCTGTTGAAGAAAACAATCATTTTAATTTGGGGGAATTAATAAACTGTTCTGTCCTTGACCCAGGCATGCCTCAAAAGAATCCCTATTGGGCAAGAACATTAAGGATTCTCTGGAGGCGTGCCTGGATCAATGGCAGAACAGGATCTGTAGTGCTTTGCCATGGATTACCAATTTGTTGTAGTTACAGTGGCTGTGTTAACTAAATCTTGCTGGATCCTAACTAATTGCCGATGTTCTTCTCTACAGTAAACCACAAAGTCATCCACATTTTAGTCTAGCATGTTCAAACTCAATAATTAATATATTTTATTCTCTCATTATATTTTTCTCTCTCTCTTTCAAGAGGCTAAGGCTAGGGAGTCCCCACTCCACCTAACAAACACTTTTTTGACTTCAGATATCTTTATTTACAAAAATAAGTCTGGTGCAAGTCACCTTTATGACTCTGGCAAGTTGAATCCAAGGACAAGAGAAGAGAAAGGGTGGGTCCAATCATGCCATGTTAATTGGGTTTTTGTTTTATGCATGTGCATTCCATATGGATGAGAACAACATCAAGCAATGACTTGTAGGTGTAAAAATATGTCATCCAGAGCTAAGTACTACAGACTCAATTTTTAAATTACCTCCAATATAATAATTAGTGTGGCCATGTGAACCAATCAATGCATACTTTCAGATATTGGATACTGGTTGTTTTTGTGTACATGACACCAAATTATAGTTTGTGTCACCATGATTTTTTGTGCAAGCTATGATTTCCAAAGCAGAATGGCTAAGTTCACACAACACACCAATCAAAAGCAAATAAATCACATTCACATCCTTGTTTATCTGCTGTTGGTTCAGTATGGTATGTCCACTCTGTTATTGCATGCATCAATTTGCAGCAGGGACTCTGAAAATGTGTTATGCAACTCCAAAAATTCCCAGTCATGAGGGCTTCTTAGGAATTCTAGAAACTGCAGTTTCATCACACTTTTAGTGCATCACTAAAGGGAAAGCTGGTTTACAGTAGTTAAACAAAGTCACTCACATCCATACAGATAAGAACACTATTAGGGTCTAAACACAGGACAAGTAGATCTAAAGATTACCTGGCTGTAAGCAGCAATTTCTGTTAAGGCCAGAGTACCTTATTCTGCCAATCAAATGTTGATATTTTTGATATATTTTGGTATCATATAGAATAGAAAGGAGAATAACTACTTCTGAAACAGAATGGAAAGCCAGCATACTGTATTGTTAGTTTAGAATAAATTGTGTACTGAATGTGTTATTCAGTTACATGGAAGTTAGTTGGTATAAATGACAGTTGTCTAGAGTCACAATGGAAAGCTGAACAAAGGAAAACAATTATGACAACCTATCACTTCTGAATTGGAGAAAGGAAGGAAATGGTCTGTGTCAAATAAATGGAGGCTAGGAGCTGGTAGTGATCTGCTGTATGAATGTACATCTACAAAATAGCTTGCAAATTAGTTGAGATTTTTAAGCTGCTTTTATGAGACAAGGCCAAATTACAGATGTTATATTTCATAATAAAAAGGTATATTTTCTGCCAATCTTTGCAAATCTATGATAGATCAATGGTAGAAAGAACTTTGAGTTTATTTCACAATCCAAAACACCAATGAAGAAGCTCGCATTGAAAGAATAACCTATTAAGAACATGGTGCTGGGCTTCCTGTTTCTTTATAACTGACCTTGGTTTGAAAAAAAAACAACACGAATAATTTTGCATGGGCAGAAAAAATGAATCCTGCAGTGTGTGTTTTGAGCTCTCTTGCTCGCTCTCTCTCCACCCCCCACCCCGATAACTACATCCCTGCAGTATTCCTTAAACCAATAAATATAACCATCACGTCATGTGGACAGCTAAAACAAAGGTTGGGAAGTGGGATGATTTCATTTTTTAGCACTTTTCTCACAGAATTTGGGGCATAAATTTTAATTTCCTTGCATTACATTTTGTACTTTTTACCATATTGTAAACCACCCAGAGTCAATTATTTATTTATTTATTTATTTAACAATTTAGGAAATAAATAAAAATTGAAATCAATTGAGGATGTGCAAATTATGCAAGGCAAAAGAGTAGCACCCCTTTTGCTGCGGTTATTTCCTCATGCAAGTGGGAACTCTCACACGATAACAGGCTTGGATAGACTCTGGTGGGATAGCTGACTAAACAAAGTCAAGATGGTGGCTAATCAAAGTCCCTCCGCTCTGTAGGCATGCACTTACAAAAGGGGCGGGACTTGGATTGCACATCTATGACTTCCACATGTACTTTAATGGATGCT